CGTTTAGTTAGTTTTAGTTAGGTTAGGTGTACCGTTACTTAAGTTATAGTAGGACGTCGTGTACTACGTACTATAATTTACGTTACTATATATATATATATATATATATGTGTGTGTGTGTGTGTGTGTGTGTGTGTGTGTGTGTGTGTCATGCATTGAGGGATGCAGTTCCACACAAGCATCCCCTAACTTATCAAACATCCATCTTAAAGATGGATCTGGAAAAATGGTCGCCCCACCAAAACCTAAAATGGACAGTATTAACAATACATAAGAAAAATATTATTTTCCTCTTTAAAATTTTAATTTTTTATATTCATACCATGTAGTATGTATGTATATAGTCTGCCCAAGGGCGATCACTACAGTTTCAGCTCTACTGCTTTGGGGCCTTTAGGGGCAATTTTTGGACTGAATTTGGCACACTTACTCTCTTGGGCTTGGTCAACAACATTATGAAGAATTCTGGAAAATGTGTTTTCTAGGTGAGAATAAAAGAAACAAGGGTGTTGGATCAAGGCCCTATGGGGGATTTGCTTGACCCTAAATCTTATGGGTTGCCCATCATCACCAGATGAACAAATTAAGAACAGAGATTTCATTTTGCCTGTGCTCATTGAATTCAAGAAAGCCACTTTCACTGGACTTTTTTCCGAACTCTTTTTTTTTTCCAATGGGCTTTTTGGCAGGTTCCAAGGGAATGTGTGTGCTGAATTATGGGGCTAAAATTTTTGCTTCTAAGATCTCCAAAAATGGGGGAGGGCATGCTCTGCAGTCTTCTCTTGGGCAGTGTGGGTGTGGGTGTGGGTGTGAGACAAGAAGTGAGGGAGAGAGGTTGAATTGAAATTTTTACTGATTACTGATGCCAAAATTCTCATGATCTACAACTTACTTGGGATCTTGTTTCAAAATGCTTATGTTCTCTCTTTGTTTCCTTCTCTGTTTGTAAGGTTTCCTTTCTGGTCTTATGCAAAGCTGATAGCCATATGCTGGTTGGTCTTACCATACTTCAATGGAGCTGCTTATGTCTATGAACACTACATAAGGCCATGCTTTGTAAACCCCCGTCAAGTTAATATATGGTTCTTTCCGGGTAAGAAGAATGCTCTGAATAATATATCCGATGACGCTCGACTTGCTCTTGAGAAGTATCTTGCTGAAAATGGTCCTGAATCCTTTGAGAAGCTTCTTCGAAAGGTAGGGCCAAAAACATGCTTATATGTATCATGTGTTCATATTGTGTGGTATATGCATGCATATGCTATGCGCACACCTCTCTCTTTCTGTGTGTATGTGTCTCTGTAACATATATTTCTGTAACATATGCACACTTACAGAGGGGTGTGCACATTGACATATACATATCAAAATGTATTGGCTTGCTGTGTATGAAAAATGTTAATCTTGCTTTGCAAGAAAGAGGATGAGTAAATGAATAGTTTAATGAAATACAGTTAACTTTCAAAAGAAATAAAAAAAAGAAAAAAGAAAAGAAAAAAGAGAGTAAATGAAGACTTAAATTTTTGCATAGAGAGATGTACTCTTGTACATACATGTATGGACTTGGATATGTGAGAAAAATAACTATCAGAAGAATACGATGTTTCATCAGTGGGCCTATTGAAGGATATCAATGATTTGTTGGAAATGAAGAAAATTATAGTGATTTGGCAAATTGTGAAAGGCAGACATCTAGAAAAATGATATTCAATCATGGACTATGTGATATCCTTTATGTACAGATAGTGCTTTAAAGATATCTCATTTGTTTTTTCCTTTTTCTTTGAAATCTGAAAATGGCACCCCCTCCTCCCATGGTCTTGCTGTTACACTTGTTTCTATTTACCATATTAGTTTCTTGATCATTTATAGAAAATTCATGAGCACTTCAGTTGTTTTATCCTTTTTCTTTGAAATCTGAAGATGGCACCCCCTCCTCCCATGGTCTTGCAGTTACACCTTATTTCTATTTACCATATTAGTTTCTTGATCATTTATAGAAAATTCATGAGCACTTATTGTTCCCCTATGGAATTCCAAATGATATTTCTTGAAGGAATTCACATATATGGTCGAATGAATTCACATATATGGTCTTGCAAGGTTATGAAGAAGACTCAACAATTTTAATATTTTTTAAGCTTTCAATAAAACAGAAAGTGTAACTACTTTTGCGCTGCAAGTAAAACATCAATGAAATTAGAAAATGAAAACACGTTGTGAAACTGCACCACATGTAATAAAAAACAATATTATGTTTGTAGTTCTGGTTTTTGAGATATCATCCATTATCGTTTTAGCCTTTTTCCAATTAATTGGGTTCCGTCTACATGAATCTTGGTTCTCCATTCTGCTATATTAATGACCATTTTCTCAGTGAGGCCATAAGTCCCATATCTTTTCAGACTACTTCCAACTACTGGTTTTTGAGATAAATGTAATAAAAGTATTTTGTGTGCAATTTTGTTTGGAATTGGGCTGTTTCTAAAAAGTAGGAAAGAATCATGATATGTGAAGACTTCTCTGAACTTCGATCAAGGAGCAAGAGGGGAGAAAGAAAATTAAGAAGCATTTACTTGTCTATGGCAACATACCCCCCTAGTCAAATAATATAAAAGGGAAACAAATCCACTATATGCTTGTGAAAGTAAACCTTACTCATTGACTGCTATAATTAATGTGTTTTCTTCCTTGTGTTCCTTTTTGCAGGCTGAGATGGAAATAAAGCCCAATAGGAGCAGCTTATCAATCTTTGATGAGAACTACAGATACTAACACATGGGGGATCTTAGATATTGACTTCTGTGTCGTCAGTCATGTTGCATAGGTCTCTACATCAGATGCGTTTTTGTGGGTCAGGAAGTGCTTATGTGTCCTTGAAACCTGTGATCCAGTTTCTTGTAAGAAGTTGTATGTTCACTTCTGTTTATATGCTTCACATGATCAAACAATTTCGCTTACTTGGAGTATGTTTCACTTTCGTATACACATATGCTGATGTGGTTCCTGAACATTACCTTATGTATCCATACATCTTGATGCAGGTTTTATAGTAGAGAAACCTTTCTATGGGTCCCTGTAGACATAATTTTTGTCTTGGGGCTGGGACTGACATCTATTTGATTTTTTTTTGGACAACTAACAGCAAGCTAAGAACAACATCTCAGGCTAGCATTAACTATTCTTGTTAGACAATGATTTTAATGTGTGATACTTTTGGCTCCCTATTGGCTGTTTGATCAAGGTTTGATGTTGGTCGCATGGATATTTGTCGCCTCCCATGTGGTGCAAGTAATCTGTGTCATTGTTGGCTCACTGCGAGTTGTCTAATCAAGAAAGGATAGGTGTCAATCCAAATTTATGTGTATATGAACAATGGAAGGCTCACCCTTTACATAATTCAAATTTGTGATTTCTTAAAATTGAATAAATAGTGGAGGTAGCAACCTTGATTGAAGAGGTTATATCATTTGGAGTCACGAAATACTCCTGTATAGGGTTACCCAAGGGAGTAAATGGGCATTTTGATCACATGGAAGCACGAAATTCGTTGGTTGAGTAATTTTTAGGCCCGGGCCCATGTCGCAAGGCATTACAAACGGATTTGCTAGACCTAACCCTTGAATCATCCTTGTTCATCAAGGATTGTAACAATGAGACCATTTACTTTTAGTGAAAAAGAGGTCACGATAATTTATAATTATAAAATGTGATAGTTTGGATGTGTCACAAAGTTCGGGAAAATTTCATTTGAACCTTGAGTTTGGTCAATAGAATAGTGATGTCACCTACTTTTACATCTACAGGTCAAGATTAATTTTAATTATTTTGTATTAAAGTTAAATGATCTCATCGTATAACTTTTCAAAAAAGATGTTTTAGAGTTTAAAAAAGGGTTTGAAAAACTATTTTGTACCAAAAGTAAATGGCCTCACTAAAACGGATTGATAAGGAAAGATTTGATCTTGAGAACACAACTGACCAGAATAGCAAACGAGAGTTATATAGAGCCTACTATGTATAAACTGATATTCACCCATTGTGAGGGGCAAAAGTTTCTTCCTTAGTCTCAGCCAAACTCAGTGAAGAGGAACATATATCTGTCTCAGTAAAATTCATTGACCAAACTTGTGTTCTCACTGAATTCACTAGCAAATCAAATGCAACATCTCCAGCTCATCTGTTATAAGCCGCTACTTTGGGGGCTGCATCGATGATAAACTTCATGACCAATCCAATCAGTGTCAAAGAGAAAGAAGGGATACCATGAAAATGGAAGGCCAAAAACTAAGGTTTATGAAGCTACTTCCTAAAAAGAAGTTAGAAAGGTAAATGAGAAATATAAGAGCTAACAATCTAAGGATCGGTAGATTAGAGCCCAAAGGACTTTGAAAGACCTACCCAAGTGGGATCATAAGATAGCACCACAAGATGAAAGATTTTCAAATGACTTCTAAGATGCTGCGTCGATTTGTTTTCGGCCATGGTCATAAACAAACTGGTTATGTACCTCTTGAGCAAATTTGAGGGTCCCCAAGAGTACAGAAACTGAGAAAGAGCTATATAAAGAATTTTTTTTTTATTACTATGTATTACTTTTTTTTAACACCTTAAAAAAAAACTAATTTCTAAATTATTTGAAAAAATGGGTAGGGGTCTATTTTTTCCACTGAATTACCCCAAAAAAAAAGAAAAAAAACGATCATCTCCGTCGCGATTATGACTAATAAAATCTTTTCACCGGATGCTATTACTATGTATTTTGTTATCCAAAAGATCTCCAAGAACAACCCCATAGACTGTACTTAATTGCATAAATTTATTTTTTTCAGTTACTACCTAATAGATAAAACTACCGGTATATAGTAACTTCCGATTGAAAGCAATCCCTGACTAAATATTAATATAAAATTTGAATTTTGTTTAGAGGAAGAGAAAAATGTTTCTAGGACTAATTAGAGACTACAAAGGAAGCTTAGCTTATAAATCCACTGTAATGGATTTTGGCGTCTCGCCCTTTCTATCCTCTCGTTAACCTATATATATATATATATATATATATATATAGA